GACTGTTGTACTCTATGCCCTTATTTATAAAGCCCAGTATCCCATATACCCTTTTTACAGCCGTATCTCCCTGTCCTGCCACCTTCAAGGATTCATTTACCTGCCCCCCCCCCAGGTCTCTCTGTTCTTTTACCCCTTTAAGATTGTATTACCGCCTATATTGCCCCTCATTCTTTCTACCAAAATGCATTACCTCACATTTCTCCACATTGAAACTCATCTGCCATGTGTCGCCCATTTTACCATCTGTCTATGTCTTCCTGCAGTCGGCTCCTATCCTTCTCACTGTTTACCCCCTCCCTAACTTTGTGTCGTCCGCAAACTTGGAAATGGTACTTGCTATACCCAAGTCCATATCATTAAGTATATTAAGAAGAGCAGTGGTCCTAATGCCGATCCCTGGTGGACGCCATTGTATTACTTCCTTCCCGTCAGAAAAGCAGCCGTTCACCACAACTCTCTGCTTTCTGTCTCCGGGCCAGTTCTGGATCCGCTGCCACTGTCCCTTTTATTCCATGGGCTTCTATTTTTCTTACAAGTCTTTCATGTGGCACTTTGTCAAATGCCTTTTGAAAGTCCATATAAACTACATCAACTACATGCACTACCTTTATCCACCCTCTCCGTTACCTCATCAAAAAATTCTATTAGATTTGTTCGACAAGATTTGCCTTTAACAAATCCATGTTGGCTGTCCCTAATTAACCCATATTCTTCTAAGTGAAGATTTATTGATAATAATAATAATCCTCGCATTTGATATAGCACTTCTTCACGTTTTCTCGACATCTCAAAGCGCTTCACAGAATAGACTGTAAAATGAATTGACCGTATATCTGTGGGCGAAACGCGGCAGCCAATTGCGCATAGTAGTGTCACACAACAACGACAACAAGATTCCATTATAGAGCGCCTTTCACGTCGGGAGGACGTCCACACAAACAGTCATGGATTGAAAATGACCAATTTATTATTATTTTGGAGGGATTATTATTCTGTCCTGGATTATAGTCTCCAGGAGTTTCCCCACTACTGATGTTAGGCTGACTGGCCTGTAGTTCCCAGGTTTGTCCTTCTGTCCCTTTTTGTACAGAGGAGTAACATTGGCCACTCTCCAGTCCTCGGGCACCACTCCTGTGTCCAATGAAGATTGAAAAATTGTAGCTAAAGCCTCCGCTATTTGTACCCGTACCTCCCATAGTAACCTCGGCTGCATCCCTTCCGGACCAGGCGACCTATCACCTTCAGCCCAGTCAACCTTTTCAGTACTTCCTCTCTGTTTATACTTATCCTATCCATTTCCTCTCCCCTCTCCTCCAATACTGCGGCATTTGGTGCATCCATTTATTTTGTGAAGACAGATGCAAAGTACTCATTCAGCACATCAGCCTCCACAATAAGATTTCACCTTTGGTCCTTAATTGGCCCCACCCTACCTTTGACAAGCCTTTTTTTATTGATATGCTTGTAAAATATTTTAGAATTCCCTTAATGTTACCCACTAACCTTTTTTCATATGATCTTTTTGCCCCTCTTATTTCCTTTTTCAAACCTCTTCTGCACTTCCTATATTCTGTTTGGTTGTCTTCTGTATCTTGGGTTTGACATTTGGGCATATTTATCATATGCCTCCTTTTTCTGCTTCATTCTAGATACAATTACCTTTGGAAGCCCTACTTTTCCCTTTTGTGGGAATGTATTTATTCTGTCCCCGAGTTATCTCATCCTTGAAGACTTCCCCCTGCTCTTCAGTTGTTTTACCCGCCAATCTTTCTTTCCAGTCCACCTTGGCTAGATCCCTTTTTAACTCACTAAAATTTGCCCTCTTCCAGTTGAGTATCTTCACCTCAGATGGTTCCTTGTCTCTTTCCATACGCACTCTGAATCTAATGATGTTATGATCACTGTTGCCCAGATGCTCTCCCACTGAAACCTGCTCCACTTGCCCTACTTAATTCCCCAGAACTAGATCTGGCACTGCTTCCTTCCTCTTTGGGCTGGAAACGTACTGATCAAGAAAGTTGTCCTGTATGCATTTTAGGAATATTTCCCCCTCCTTGCCCTTTGCGCTGTTGTTTTGCCAGTCTATGTTGGGATAATTAAAGTCCCCCATTATCACGACTCTATTGACCATTCTTCTGTAAGAAATCTGCTTGCAGATCTGCTCATCTATTTCCTTCCCACAATTTGGTGGTCTATAGTATACCCCAACCCGTGTAACAGCTCTTTTTTTGTTGCTTAACAACAAAAGTCTCTGTTACTGCTGCTACATCGTATTCCCCTATGACCACTTGAGCCTGCAGCTCACCAATCTTGTTTGCTAAACTCCGTGCATTTAAGCACATGCGCTCCAAGACCATGATGATTTTAGATGATTTGATTCCAGCAGTTATCCCAACGCACACTCCGGAGTCCCCAAGCCTCGGCTCTCACCAACCTGTGCCTAATACTATCTGGAATTAGGTAAGCAGGATGCCTCCCTCCAGGGAGAGAGTGCGCATTCCATTCCAGACACAAGGAATATCCCATGTATACGTGACATACGTATATGGAAGTCTCACTGTTTAAAAACGCTTAATCAGTGATGGGTTTTCGTGCGGGTCAGACAGTGGAAGGCCCTGGGTTCAAGTCTCAGGAACGTTGAACTCACAGTCTAGGCTGATACTCCAGTACAGAAATATGCAGAAATGCATTATTCAGTAGATGGAATGCTAACCCAAGGTCCAGTCTATTTATTTGGGTGGATGTTAGCAATTACATGACAAGAAAAGAGAAGGGAGTTTCTCCCAGTGTCATGGCCAACCATCCCCCTCAGAGTAGTGATCCTTATCCCAATATTAAGTGCTGTTTGACAAGGCCACAATCTCAGGAGATAATAATAATAACAATCCTTGCATTTGATGTAGCGCCTTATCATGTCTTCTAGCCATCTCAAAGCGCTTCACAGAATATACTGTAAAGTGAATTGAATTGACTATTTTGTGGGCGAAATGATATGAAGGGATAAAGGGTTAAGCAGAATTATACGACTTCATTTGGAATGCCAATGTAAAAGATAATATGGGTTTGATATTTAATTGAAAGGGAGTCACTTGGAACAGGACCCAATGACAACATGAAAAATTGAACTGAAGCCAATAGATTTTTGAGCTTCAAACGTCCACGCTGACATTCAAACGACACTCAAATGACAGCCTGTCTCTTAACTCTGGGTCAGAAGCTTGTTGCTTCTTGGCCCAGATCGAGGACTTTGAGCTCACGGTCCAAGCTGAATCTCAGCGCAGTGTTAGGGCTGCGCTGTGAAGATATTCCCAGTGTCCTGACCAATAATCCCACCAGAATAATTGGCCATTCATGTCATGGCTGTCTACGGAACATTGCTGTGAGCAAAATGCCTGATGCCTTTGAATATAAATACACAGTCACTAAATTTGATGTTATGGGCACTGTATCAAAATGGAAGGATTATCAAAATTGAGCTAAACCTGAACCTTTGGCACCTGCACCTGTCGTGTGGTTCACTGTGAGGCATGTTATGTGGAGTGAAAGAGATTGATTGATTGACAGTTTTACAGAGCCTTGTTCAGACCCCATCTGGAGACTGTGTTCAGTTTTGGGCACCGCACCTTAGGAAGGATATATTGGCTCTCGAGGGGGTGCAGCGCAGATTCACCAGAATGATACCAGGGCTTAAAGGGTTAAATTATGGAGAGACGTTGCATAAACTTGGCTTGTATTCCCTTGTGTTTGGAAGGTTGAGAGTTAATCTAATCGAGGTTTGTTTTTAAAATGATAAAGGGATTCAATAAGACGAGAAACTCTTTAACTGCGCCTTTGTTCTGGTAGCTCATGTGCTCTAAAATTAGCATCATTTTAACGTTAGAAACTAGATTAGAATCGAGGGTTCCAGTAAGAGCGCAGACACTTTGTCTGTGGTCAGCCGGGTGTTGATACAAGAGGAAATCTATCACCGTGCTTAAGAGTCCACAAACCAAACTACCGAGGATTCTACAATACTGTACTATGAAATTTCTGTTTATCTGGAATGGAATGAGCACTCTACTCTCTCCCAAGAGGGTCTAAACTCAAGAGAATACTTGGTCAGTATTTACTTGAGTTTAGAAGATTGAGGATCTAATTAATAATAATAATAATCCTTGCATTTGATATAGCGCTTTTCACGTCGGGAGGACGTCCCAAAGCGCTTCACAGAACACACTGTAAAGTGAATTGACTGTATATTTGTGGGCGAACGCGGCAGCCAATTGCGCACAGCAATGTCCCACAAACAGTCGTAGATTGAAAATGACCAATTTATTATTGTTTTTGGTTTTGAAGGGATTATCATTATTAATAAAGGGATTTGATAGGGTAGCTACAGAGAAACTTTCCTCTCCAGAAAAAGGGATGCACCATATTAAAATTAGAGCTCGGCCATTTAGGAGTGAAATCAAGAAACACTTTTTCATGCAAAGGGGAGTGGAAATCTGGAACTCTGTTCCTCAAAAGGCTGTGGATGCTGGATCCATTGAAATTTTCAAGACTGAGCTGGTAAATGTTTAGGTCAGCAACAATAACAACAAAATTACATTTGTATAGTACCTTTCATGTTGGGAGGACATCCCAGGGCACTGGGCAGTCAGCTGAGGGTCGGGATCAGGGAGGGTGGAGGGCAAGGGGGGGAAGCAGGGAGATCAAAAGCATGGACGAAGAGGAGGGTCTTGAGATGGGGGTGAGGCAGAGGGACTGCGGGATGGAGTTCCAGAGGGTGGGGTCAGAGTGGCTGAAGGCCCGCCCGCCAATGTTGGGGTGGGCGAGGTGGGGGACGTAGATCAGTGTATCAAGGGCGGTTAATTGTAGTTGGGGTTACAGATCAGTGGTGATCTAATGGAATGGCGGAACAGGCTCGAGAGGCTGAATGACCTACTCCTATTCTTATGATATTGATTTAATTGATTGCGTGTCCTGTTCGCCCTCTGTGCCCTATTGTTTGCTGGCAGATGCCGTTGATGACGGCTGGGTGATGGAAGCCCCTGAAATGGTGACTGGCTGGGAAGGGGACTCTGTCATTCTGCTTTGCAGCTTCTCACTCCCCGACCCCGGGTATAAAGGCAACATCTCAGTCGTATGGACAACAAAGAGAAAAAGCAGCAGAGCTGTAGTGTTCAACTGCACAAACTACCTCCCACTCAATGCTCCGTCCAATACATCTGAGAACTTGATCCATCGGAACGCGGGCAGGCGGTACTGGCTGGCGGGGAACCCGAGGGAGATGAACGCCTCACTGGCGGTGGAGAAGCTCACTCTGCCTGACAGTCAGCACAGGTACCAGTGCTGGGTGGCACTCACTGGCAACGGATCTGAGGTGCTCGTGAGCTCGACTGAAACTACTCTCCTGGTGATGGGTGAGTAACCGAGGGTGGTAGGTCCTGCTTGGGGTCATTGCATGAACTCTTGTAGCTCAGTGGTTAGAGCTCTCTCCATGCAAGCAGGAGTCCTGGGTTTGATTCCCAGACAGGGCGAAACACTGGGCACGTTTCCTTACTCCACACGCCTCTGTTTAACTATCAGTAAGTAGATACTCATTTGTTCGTCGATTCGTGGATTGCTTTTCCAGGGGTAATAATCCTTTTTCCAGGGGTAATAATCCTAGTGACTCTGTGCTGCTCCCTCCCCATCTCCAACATTTCCTTGCTGCAACGGGGAGCCCCAAACTGTGGAATATTACATGTAAACCCCTGATTGCTAACCTGCATCTTTATCCAGTGACATTCACTGAAGCCCATTCTCAAAATCCTCTTCCTCTCTCATGAAGGAAAACTCCTATCAGTGACTGGTACCAAAGGAGGTGATGCCACACTGCCATGCTCCTTCACCATGCCAGGCATTCACCCAAGTAATATCTATGTCATTTGGAGGCGAGGGAATCCACAAAGCCGGCCGTTTATTAATGACACGCTTGGCCTCGCCTCACACACCAACCCCGGGGAGTCAGAGACAGCGAATGAAGGAAATCGCTACAAGGTGGTCGGGAATGTGGGAGATGGAGATACTTCCCTGAGGATCAGGGGCCTGGAGTTAAATGACACCGGCCGGTATTTCTGTCACGTACACGTCACGTTCACACTGCAGGAATACACGACGCAGGAACACACGACGCAGGGACATGTGTCTCATGGACACACTACACAGGAACATGTGACGCAGAATCAGATGTGGCTGCGGGTCGTCGGTAAGTGAAACCTCAGTTACTGCGTCAAGGCAAACGGGTTTGGATGCACTGGAGTGGAATATAACATGTGGCATGGTTCCACATATTACCATGTTACCGGAGAGTAACATATGGAGATCTCATTAGGATGAATGGGCTAATGCCATATCAATCCAGGTACCTCTTTGGTTTCTCTTCTTTGAGATACATTTTTTAAAAAATTCTATTTTGACTGGACTGACTGGAATACAAAGCAAATGGTTACATCAGGAAACAGTTGCTCACAATATGTCAGTGTCACCCACGATGTGAGCATTCTGCTTATCTATTCCAGAGATCCGAGGCGTGGGGAACCCAGAGTGTGTATTGGGGTACCAGCTACAATTTAACCAGCTAAAATCATATAATTTGCCATTGAAAACGCTGTCTGACAAGTTTTTCCTGTTGCTTATCCAGCTAGAAGCTTACTACATGTTTAGGTTTTGGCTTGCAGGATTAATAGGAGCTGAGTGGTTGGATTCCCTGCTCCCATTGACTGGTCTGCCCTTCCAAGTCCTGCTGATGAGCTATGCTGTCATCAACAGTGCCCTGCAGTACTGCTTTTTTCACACTAAGAGTAGTGGAATTTTCATCTAACTCCACTGGCTCCCTATCCTTCAGAGGATCCAATTCAAGATCCTGGTCCTCACCTGCCATGGCCTCGCCCCACCCTATCTCTGCGACATCCTAACCCCTATCAACCCGCCTGCTCCCTCCGCTCAGCCGACTCCGGTCTACTCCACGTCCCTCGACTCACCAGCCCCACCATTGGCGGGAGAGCCTTCAGCCACTCTGCCCCCAACCTCTGGAATTCCATCCCCCAATCACTCTGCCTCTTCCCTAGCCTCCTTCAAGTTCTGCCTCAAAACTCTGATCCCAGCTCGGGTCTGAAATGCTGTACACTGTCCAGCGCCTTGGGACGTCCTCCCGATGTGAAAGGGGTTATACAAGTGTAATCTTGTTGTTGTTGGAAATCTGGAACTGTTTCCCCAAAAGGCTGTGGATGGATCAACTGTTTCCCCAAAAGGCTGGATCCATTTAAATTTTCAAGACTCTGGTGGATAGATATTTGTTAGGTCCGGGTAACAAGGGATATGGGGCAAAGGCAGGTAATTGGAGTTGAGGTACAAATCATCCGTGATCTAATAGAATAGAGGAACAGGCTCAAGGGGCTGAATGGCCTATTCCTGTTCCCTAGAGGCAAGTGCAGAGGAGAGAAATGAGTGTGATCCAAAGTTTTAGAGGAATGAGCTGTGAGCAATGATTAAACCTTTTCTTGAGAGATGATGTCTACACCTGGATGGAAGGGCACCATATAGAGGTGCGTAATATTTTAAATTGGATTAAAAAAGGAAACCCAGAGCAATACTTTAGGACACAGGTTTAAAGTTACAACTGGCAACTTAAGGACACCATGAATTTTTCTTTTACTCAGAGATGGAACAGGTTGCCAGGAAATAATTATAGTATTATACAGCACAGGAAGAGGCCATTCAGCTCATCATGCCTGTGCTGGCTCTACCCAACTAGTTCCACTCTCCCTTCTCTTTCCCCATAGCCCTGCAAATGTTTCCTTTTCAAATATATATACAGTTCGGTTTTGAAGGTTATTATTGAATACGATTCCACCAACCTTTTTTCAGTCAAGGGGTGGTAGAAATCTGGAACTCTCTCCACCAGAAGGTCGTGGATGCTGGATCCATCCACACCTTCAAGAAAGAGATTGACAGATTTTTGGTAGGTCGGGGTATTAAGGGATATGGGGAGAAAGCGGGAAATTGGATTTGAAATTCTAGTAATTTCTAGATTCTAGTAATTTCTAGAAATAATCTAGTAATAGATCAGCCATGATCTAATTAAATGGGCAGAACAGGCTCGATGGGCTGAACGGCCTACTCCTGTTCCTATGTTCCTAATAATCTTTCAACAGTGATTCCAGACTGTAACAAGTCATTGCGTAAAACTCATCTCCCCTCTGGTTCTTTTGCTAACACTGGAGGCATGAGATCAGATGGGCCAAGGAGCCTTCTCCATCCAGATCCGATGTGTGATGTTGTGAAGAGTTTATTGAGCGAAAATAACTGTTTCTTTAAATCTGAAGCTCCGGCCGTCATCCTGAGTCTGTCCCTCGTGGCCGGTGATGGAGCCGGAAGTGGGATTGTGTGCACGGCTGAGGGGGAACCACCAGCCAACATCACATGGATCGACCCTGAGAATAACACGTTGCCCATTAACACCAGCCACACGCCAGTCACACACGTACCGGACAAGTATCAAACCGTGGGGGAGATCCGGGGCCCGAGGCTGAGGGGAACTTACCGCTGTGTAGCTGAGAACACACAGGGCAGGGACACCAGAGACATCCTCGTCGCTGCCCCACAGAGAGATGGCAGTTTCATCATCGCGATACTGTGTTTGATACCCTTAGTTAAATTTCTCACTATGTTGGTCACGGGGATCATTCTCGTTTGTAAAATGGGAGGTTTGTCACTGATGCTTTATAAGTTTCACACGTTTTTTTGCAATATGAATACATTTACACAGTGCCTTTCATGCCGGGAGAATGTTCCAAGGCACTGGACAGTCCAGGGTTTGCACCTGAGCTGAACGTGGGGATCCGGGATGATGGTCGTAAGGGGGGGAAAGATGTCCGAAAGTGCGGTCAAAGAGGAAGATCTTGACTCGGACCTTGAAGGAGGCAACAACAACAACAACAACTTGATTTATATAGTGCCCTTCAAGCGGGAGTGCTTCACATTGGCAAGGGAAGGGGAAAGCTAAAGGTACTCCAGGACGGAGTTCCAGAGAGTGGTGGCAGATACACTGAAAGCCTGACCGCCGATAGTGGGGTTGGAGACATGAAGCAGCCAGAGACTTTATGTCTTAAAAAGTTGCTAATTAAGACTGGATTTCTCCATTTCTGCACCAATTTAGATTTAAGACAAAACATCTCACAGCTGTGACCAGGTGGAATTTTGGGACTGTGTTGATTCATCAAATTTAGAACATGGGACCCCATGCCTTCAAATATAACTTGCATGTACATAGCGAGCTTTACGCGGGATAGCGTCTCAGAGCGTTTAACAATGGCGGAGCCTGACACTGAGCTGGGGTGGGGGGGTGGGGTGACCATGAGCAAGGTTAAAGAGTAAGGACTTTAAGGGGTAAGGACTCGGAGGCAAGACGGAGGGATTGAGGGAGAGATTTCCTTACTTTTGGAGCATAGTGACTGAAAGCATGGCCTCCGATGGTCGAGCAGAAGGAACGAGAGACCAGCAGGAGGCCAGAGCCAGCCGAGCAGAGTGGGCATATGGTGGATTTTGGAGTAATCAGGTCTATGAGTGAGGGAGGAGCTAGGTCGTGATGGGATTTGTACACGAGTGTGAGAATCTTGAAGTCTATCCATTCTGTGATAAGGAGCCAGTGGAGCTTGGCGACGATTGGTGTGGTGGGGGTAGGCAGTTTGCTGTGGGTAAGTATAGGCAGAGGTTTGAATTAACTGGATTTTGTGGAGAGTGAAGCTAGGGAAAACAATGAGGAGGGCATTGGAATAATCAAGGTGGAAGGTGATGAAAGCATGGATGAGGTTTCGGCTGCATTGAATGTGAGCGCTCCGAGATGCTACCCTGCGTGAAGGGCCCAAGTGCAAGTTGTGAGACGTGGGCAATTTAATGGAGATGGGACTAGATTTGGGGTAGGAAAGAACCTGCAGATCAAACCTGACGCCTAGATTATGCACAGATTTGGTGCATCTGAGGGATTATCCAGGGAAGGTGAGGAGGTCAGAGCCACATGAGAGAAAATGTTGACAGGGGCTTAGGAGGAGTCATGTTAAAATTCCATTGCAGTAAGTTTGTGCTCATCCAGGCCTTGATGTCTGACAAGCAAGCTGACAGAACATCAGTGGATCTAGAGTCCAACTGGACGAGAAGTAGATTTGGGTGATATCCGTATACATGTGGATGTTGACCCCGTGTCTGCGGGTGACATCAAGGCTAGGAACTATGTAGAAAGGCCAAGAATAGAGCCTTGGGGTACACTGCAGGTGACCTGGTGTGGGTGGGAGGAAAAACCATTAATGGAGATAGTGATGGCAATTGCTTAAGCAGCACTCAAAATGGCGATTGATTGGCTGAAAAGTGATCCCATTCTCATTGAAACAAGGACAGTAAATGCTTTTACTTTTCCCACAGATTGAATCTGTTTCCAGCCTGAGGACAAGTAAAGAAGGAGCTCTGTATAGTCCCCGCTCTCACCTGTGCCTGTCTCCAGTGGCCTTGAGGGTGACACATACAAGATCACAAGAGCTTCAACGAAGGAGAACATTTGATAACAGAGATCCTTCAAACCATAAGATCGCTTCCTTCCAGTAATCCTCAGGCTGCCATCTCCCATTACAGCATTGACCTCAACAGCGACCCTTATCCTGGAGGATTGCAGGCTCCTCGGTGTCCTTCCTCCCCTCCTACATGCTCACACACTCCCAACCTCCCTGCTCTACACTGTACTGTGCCAAACCTCAGGCCAGCCATGTGGTCAAGGCCTCAGGCCTCTTTGTACCTCTCACACGGCCTACAGACACAATGCACTGCTCTCATACTGTCAGTTTATTGATCACTCACAGCCTCCAGCCCACAGACCTGTCACAGCCTTCAGCCCACAGACCTGTCACAGCCTTCAGCCCACAGACCTGTCACAGCCTCCAGCCCACAGACCTGTCACAGCCTTCAGCCCACAGACCTGTCACAGCCTTCAGCCCACAGACCTGTCACAGTCTCCAGCCCACAGGCCTCTCAAAACTTCAAGGCACGCAAACTTGTCTGTGACTTGTCTGTCTCCCAGCCAGAAGATCAGAAAAAAGCTGGTCAGCTTTGCAGGGACATTACCTCTTCAGCTGAGGAACAGTAACCTTAAGGAACACAAAGCAAACAGGATGCTGGGCTATATTGCTAAATTGTTGAATTTAATGCTCTTGTCAACCCACACCCAGAGAATTGCATACAGTTCTGGTCACCAGGACATTAAGGGGCCACCCAGGCCCAAGTAGCAATGCAGAGGAAAGCAACAAGGATAATCCCCAGTGTTATAGGAATGAGTTGTGAACAACAACAAGCGAGGAATCTGAAGTCTTGAGAGAAGACAATTCAGGGGGGACCTCATAGAAGTGTATAACATTTTAAACGGGATTGAGAAAGTAAACTCAGATCAATACTTTAGGATATTCCTAGGCAGTGGAACATAAGGTCACAGAGTTGAAGAGCTCAATTTCAGGACAGATAACAGGAAGTTTCTCTTTACTGAGTAATTAACGACTAGAACAGATGGCTAAGGAAGGGTGGTTGAGGCCAGGACACTAAGGCTAAATTAAAAAGTGGCTTGATGCTGTGGTGGTCGGGTGAATGTTCTGGAGGCATGAGATCCCTCCAAAGAACCTTTATCCAACACAATTTTGTGATGAACACAATAACTTTTACTACAAGAACCTTGTATCAGGTATTCTTAGAAACTCTTTCTGCCTCTAAACATAGGCATTCTGTGGTCAATAGTAATTGTTCTGCTTTTGAAGTGACTGAATAAAGAATAAAAGACTTTATGAAAGTATCGCTCAGTCCTGTGGGCTAATGTTTCTGCATTGGGCTTGGCTCAGAGCCAAACTGAAGTCATAACAAAGCATAACATAACATGTAGGAGCAGGAGTAGGCCATTTGGCCCTTCGAGCCTGCCCCGCCATTCAATCATGGCTGATCTTCTAATCTAACTCCAGCTAATACCAGTTGCCTTATCCCCATATCCCTTAATCCCTTTTGCAATAAGAAATCTATCTATCTCAGTCTTGAATATGTTCAAGGATTGAGCGTCAACAGCCCTTTGGGGTAGTGAGTTCCATACATTCACTGCCCTTTGAGTGAAGAATTTCTTCCTCAACTCAGTGCGAAAGGGCCGGCCTATGATTTTACGGTTGTGACCCCTGGTTTTAGTTTCTTCAATGAATCTCAGTGAGGTTGTCAAACTTGGGTTTGTGACACCAATTTCCAACTAGTGGGAATAATCTTTCACTATCTTTCCTCACCTTCTCCCACACCAGTCTCTGTGCACCCATTACCTATTGGGAGTCAGCTTCGTTCAGTTGCTAACACTCTTGTCTCTGAGTCGTGCGTTCAAGCCCCACATTATCCCATTCCTTGCCAAGCTCCACTAACTCAGTATCTCAATGGGTGAACTTCAAAATCCTTCTTTTGTCCTTGTACAACAACAACAACAACTTGGATTTATATAGCGCCCTCCACGCCAGACGGCGTCTCAGAGCGCTTCACAGCAACGGATCCCGGTGCCGAGCCAGGGGGAGGAAGGTGACCAGAACAACAACAACAAGATTCCATTTATAGAGCGCCTTTCACGTCGGGAGGACGTCCTGGGGTGCTGTACAGTTGGGTTATGACCCAAGCAGGGAGGAAATGGTCAGGGTGAGGGGAGGGAAGGGAGGGAGCGAGGAGGGGGTAGAGAGTCGAGAGGGGAGCTGAAGGCTCGGTCAAAGAGAAAAGTCTTGAGACCGGTCTTGAAGGAGGAAAGGGAGGAGGCGGCGAAGGCACTGGGGGATGGAGTTCCAGAGCCTGGGGGCTGAGAGGCTGAAGGCCCGACCACCGATGGTAGGGTGGTTGGGGCGGGGGACGTGCAGCAGACCGGAGCCAGAGGAACGGAGGATACGGGCAGGTAGGGAGGGGGATAGTAGGTTGGAGAGGTAGGAGGGAGCGAGGCCGTGAATGGCCTTGTAGGTGAGGATGAGGATCTTGAATTCGATCCTCTGGGGGATGGGGAGCCAGTGGAGGCGAGCGAGGGCGAGGGTGAGGGTGAGGGCGAGGGTGGGAGTGATGTGGTCGCGGTGTCTGGTGCGGGACGTACACGAGCTGCAGTGAGCTGCAGTGTGGAGGGAGGGCCGGGAAGGCCGGCGAGGAGAGAGTTCCCATAGTCCAGCCTTGAGCTGATAAAGGCGTGGACCAGGGTTTCAGCCGCGTGAGGGGTGAGGTAGTGCCGTAGTCTGGTGATATTCCGGAGGTGATGGAAGGCGGTGCCAGTTGTGGCGCGGATATGAAGAAGAAAGGACAGCTCAGGGTCGAACAGAACACCGAGGTTCCTGATGGCTTTGACATGTCTGCGGATGATGTCACCACAGGGGGAGCATATAGAGGGTGAAGGGGAGGGGACCGAGGACAGAGCCCTGAGGGACACCATACGAGACAGTGCGGGGGGTGGAGGAAAAGCCGTTTGTGGAAACAAAATGAAGACGGTGGGAGAGGTACGATCTAAACCACTCAAGGACAGGGCCTTGAAGGTTGAGGTGGGAGGACAAGCGATGGAGGAGGATAGCGTGGTCGACTGTATCGAATGCTGCTGATAAGTCGAGGAGAGGGAGCCCTGGTCGCGGATGGTCAAGATGTCATTGGTGACCATGACCAGGGCAGTTTCTGTGCTATGGGCAGCACGGAAACCCGTCTGAAGTGGTTTGAATAATGCATGGGTGGAGAGGAAAGAGCGCAGGTGGGAGGCGACAACTCTTTCAAGGACCTTGGACAGGAAGGGGAGGTTGGAGATGGGCCGGTAGCTTGATAGCTGCGACGCATCAAGGGAGGGTTTTTTCAAAGTGGGAGTGATGGTGGAGTTTTTAGGAGAATGGGAACAGAGCCAGAGGAGAGGGATAGGTTGATGATGTCTGTGATATGTGGGGCAAGGAGGTGGAGCTGAGAGATAAGGAGTGGTGTGGGGATGGGGTCAAGGGAGCAGGTGGTGGGTTTCAGGGATAGGATGAGTTTGGTGACAGAGGGTGGGGAAAGGCGGGGTCGAAAAGAAAAGTCTTCACCCGAGACCTGAAAATAGGAAGAGAGAGCGTGAGGCGAAGGGACTGAGGAAGGGAGTTCCAGAGCCTCGGGACGTAGTGGCTCTCGAACTTGGTCCTCAGCACAGCACCCACCCGGGGTTTGGGGAGGGGTTACATCAGCCAGGAAGAACTTTTGATAACTGTATCATGATACACTGTGGAATATTTGGAGGTGAGCGTTGTGTGGAGTCCTGTAGCTCAGTGGTTAGAGCACTCACCTTGCAAGCGAGAGACCTGGGTTCGATTCCCGACGGTGAAATGTTGAGTAAGTTTCCTTACTCCACACTCCTCTGTTCACCTAGCAGTAAGTAGGAATCCGGTTGTCAGTCGATTGGCACATCGCTTTTCTGGTGGTAATAATTCCTTCCAAAAAAAGAAGAAAATTGGTCGCTCAATCCACGACTTTTCGTGGGACACTGCGTAATTGGCTGCCGCGTTTTGCCCACAAAATATACAGTCAATTCACTTTACAGTATATCCTGCGAAGCGCTTTGAAACATCTCGAAGATGTGATAAGGCACTGTATCAAATGCAAGGATGATTATTATTATCAAGAATGGCCGCTTGGTTAAGGCACCAGAAGGCGATGGTGGAGCGGTCTCCAGGAGAAGAGGAAAGGAATCAGAACTTTACCAAGAAAATGCAAGAAAACTGAAGACAATGCCACATTGTTAAAAATAGTACTAAAAATAGTTTTAAAAAATTGAAAGGACTGTAACATGGGGCGGGGGCAGGGTTAGTGTTGGGGAGAAACATTACAGAGGATCAGAATAACACGCGGAGGGTGGAGCTCTGGTGGTGACCACAGAACGAGAGGAGGAAGGAAAGAGAAGGGTGACCAGCTGTGCCAGTGCGAGGCAGACGTGCGCGGGGAAGGAGTGTGTCCTGAGTGAGGGACGATGATGCTGGGAGCTGTGCTCTGTACCCTGGTCCTGTCAGCCTCGGCCTTCCGTACGTACTTTCCAATCAGAAACCTGACTGGCTTTAATTACTGCTTTACCTTTTACTGCAATAATTACAGTCATGTGATATCTCCTGCAAATAAGATTCCCGTCTCTAAACTGAACAGAACTGTGTTACTCACTGAGCCCCACAGTGTAAGTGTTTGCCTCAACCTTTGGAACTCCATCCCACAGTCCCTTCCCCTTACACTTCACTTGCCATCCTACCGATGTGAAAGGCACTTTCCAGATGTAATTTGTTGTTGTTGCCTCCTTTAAGACTTGTCTCAAGACCCTCTTATCCCTACCATGCCTGTCCTTCACCTCTCCTGATGCCAACCTCCAGCTCGAGTGCAATGCCTCACAGTCCAGCATCTTAGGCTGTCCTACCGACGTGAAAGGCACTATAAGAATATAATTTGTTGTTTTTGTTGTTTTGTTGTTTTTGTGTTGTGAGCCTTTGTGACCTCTATCAGGTCGCCCTCACCCCAAACTCTCAAATCTCTCTTAGTAACTGAAACCCACAAAAATTGTGCGTTCGCCCACAAATATACAGTCAATTCACTTTACAGTGTGTTCTGTGAAGCGCTTTGGGACGTCCTCCTGACGTGAAAAGCGCTATATTAAATGCAAGGATTATTATTATTATTATTATTATTCAACCCCTCATTTCTGGGGACATCGCAGTGAATCTAAGCTGCACCTTTTCCATCACTTTTATATCCTTCTTACAGTGAGGATCCCAATACTATCCACATTAGTCCCCGCTGTGACCTAACCAAGCTCTTGTACAAGCTCAGTGTTATCTGTTTGCTTTTATGTTGTGTTCTGGTTCACATTACACCATGTGTGTCCTCACAGGGCTCAGTAAGAATGGCTGGACGATGGAGACCCCCGATACAGTGACCGGCAGGTTAGGGTCACCGGTCACCGTGTACTGCAAGTTCACTCCACCTGACCCCAGATACACATTTAACATCACCATCAGGTGGCTGGGAGGCTGGACTGCTCCTGTGTATATTGAATATACAAATTATGGGTCGGATTCAAAGGGAAAGTATCAAAATGTCATTGATGTAAACGAGGGAGAGCGACACCGAGTGATTGGGATCCGAGGAGGAACGACGCTACAATAGCGATAAACCAACTGAGGGGAGAGGACGATTATAAACTGTTTTTCTGTCGTGTGGAGCTCCAGGGTGAGGACGGAAAGTTTCAAACCAGTTGTGCAACACGTCTGTATGTTACAGGTGAGGAACGATGTGAAGTGGGAATGTGATGTCCAATCTGGAACCTAACTTTTTTGCTAAAGTCCTGGAATGCATCGTTGCAGGTCAGCTTCGGTCACACCTCTCCCTCCACTCCCTCCTCGAGCCCCTGCAGTCTGGTTTTTGCCCTGACTGCCCACAGCACAGTGACAGCACTTGTCAAAGTCACAAACGATATTCTCTCTATCTGTGACCAGGGCCCCCTCTGCCTCCTCGTTCTCCTGGATCTCTCTGCTGCGTTCGACACAGTCGACCATGTTATCCTCCTCCATCGGCTCTCCTCCCTCATCTACCTTAATGGGACCGCACTCACATGGTTCGAGTCCTACTTAACCAACTGCCTCCATTTCATGTCAGCAAATGGTTTCTCCTCCCGCCCCCGCCCGGTAACCCCCCGGTTATCCCAGGGCTCCATCCTTGACCCTCTTCTTTTCCTTATCTGCAATGTCATCCGCAGACATGGGGTAAACTTCCACATCCACATGTTTGTGGATGACACACAAATCTACTTTGCCTCCTCCAGTACCAACTCCAGGTCCGCCAATGTTCTATCAGCTTGATTGGGAGACATCAAGGCCCGGATGAGTGTAAACTAACTTCCTGCAGTGGAATATGGGGAAGACAGAAGCCATACTCCTTGACTCCTGTCAATGTCTTCACTTCTGCAGATCTAAACTCCTCACCCTCCTTGGGCTCTCCCTCAGACTCACTGAATGAGTGCGCAACTTAGGTGTTCAGTTTGACCCCAAGCTATCATTTTTCCCCCACCTCCAATCCCTGACCAGGATCGACGGCTTCCACCACCACCATATTGCCTGCCTCTGACTGTACCTCAATGCAGCTGAAGCCCTCGTGCATACGCTTGTCACCTGCCACTTGGATTACTCCAACCCACTCCTCACCGGTTTCTCCAAATTCAAAAGATCCAACTCATTCAGTACGTTGCCGCCCACATACTGACCCAAACCAAACTCCATACCCACATCTCACCAGTTCCCTTTAACCAGGGATTAAGGGATATGGGGATAAGGCAGGGTTATGGTATTAGCTCGAGTTAGATTAGAAGGTCAGCCATGATTGATTGGCGGGACAGGCTCGAAGGGCCAAATGGCCTACTCCTGTTCCTACATGTTATGTTATATTATGTTCTGACCAGGCTCCCCTGGCTCCCCATCACCGAATGAATTGACTTCAAGATCCTCACACTCATGTTCAAATCCCTTCACTCCCTGGCACCTCCCTACCTCTCCGACCTCCACATGCCCCAATCCACTACCTGGTGCCTCTGCTCGACTGACTCCGACCTCCTGCTCGTTCCTCGCACCCTCCGCATCACCATTGGATATCGCGCTTTCAGACACTACGTCCAAACTCTGAAACGCTGTCCCTCAATCGCTCCGCCTCGACCCCTCTCCCCTCTCGCAGGTCCCATCTGAAAACTTTCCTCTTTGACCATGCTTACGGCCACCTCCCTTCTTCTCCCGGCTTGGAGTCAGGCTACGCCACGTAAGCACTCTGAGATGCTGCCCTGCGTGGAGGCGCTATATAGATGCAAGTGGTTGTTGTTGTTGTTGAGACGTGATGTTACTTAGTGGGCCCCGGAGTCAGTGGGAAGTGTCCCGTCCCAGGACGGGCAATAGAGAGGCAGTGTTCCCTGTGATGGACGGTGTGTAGCAGGGAGCTGACAGGTGACAGTGAGAGTCAATAAACAGTGACAACAACAAAACCTTCTCTTGTTTCCTCAACCCATCTTGACCACCAGGAGCTGGCTCTCTATTGGCTGGCGGTGGGAGGGTCGGTCAGTGATTGACAGAACGGATAAACAATCGATTGGTAGAATTGATGAGATCAGCCCAATCAGAGCAGAGAGGAGGCGCTGCTTCAGAGTGATTGGATGAGCAAAGACTGAGGGCCCTATTGTGGGCGGTGCCTGTGAGACATTGCATAGAGTTACATAGAATATACAGTACAGAAACAGACCATTTGGCCCAACTGGTCTATGCTGGTGTTTATGCTCCATGTGAGCAGGACACAGGCTCATAGAGGGTGAGTGAGGAGCACAGGCCTGAGGGAGATGGTGCCATGAAGACCAGGTAACATATCCAGGATTTCACAGTGTGTAACATGTACTCTGTCACACTGACTGCTCTGCACTATTCCAATCCTGTTCCTGTCTCAGGTCATGAAGAGAAGCTCCGGTCAGTGACTGGTACCAAGGGAGGTGATGCCACACTGCCCTGCTCCTTCACCATCCCCAACACATACCAGAATCGTGCCACAGCCACAGTGCTTTGGAGGAGAGGGAGTCCACATGGGCAGCTGGTGTTTAATTACACTCTTGGCCTCACCGCCCACACCAACTCCAGGGAGTCAGAGACAGTGAATGAAGGAAATCGCTACAAGCTGGTCAGGAATGTGGGAGATGGAGACGCTTCCCTGAAGATCAGGGGCCTGGAGTTAAACGACACCGGACGGTATTTCTGTTACGTACACGTCATGTTTATGAAGAAAGAATTCCAACTGGACCAGGTGACACAGGACATGTCACGGCTGCAGGTGTTTGGTAAGAGATCTCTTGTCTCTGTGGGACACGGAAAGAGGTGAACGAACAGGTCATCACTGACGCAATGTTACAGACGAGGTTTGTCTCATTCCTTACCCTGTTCCTCATGTGTTAATTAGCACAAGAAACATGGTATCAAAAGGAGGAGACTTTAGTTTGTTACTGGGGACAGGGTTTCTTCCCACTTGTCTCCTGTTAACCCTACAAGCTAAAGCCCAGGGTGATCCTCGCTGGACAAGCAGCGGGAAGCTTCCCAACGATAAATAATGTGTTTTTCACAAGTCCAGGATTGGTCTGAATGAAGAAGGTCCATCTGGTCTTATCCTTACAGAACACCACCCCCCCCCTCCCCCAATCACAGTATCAACTGCTTTTTAAATGAGTCCCAGTGTCCTGGCCTCAGCCACCCTTCCTGGCCACCTGTTCCAATCCCTGATTAACCTCTGAGTAAAGCAAAACACACGACCAGGTCCCTCAGCGTTGGAACAAGACAGACTGGTTACCATCCCAGACACTGCATTGATATCAGAACAGCAATATTTAATTTTCCGTCAGCAGACGGTGTGGAACTTTACTTCAAGGATTTGATAAGAAATACGTCATTGCTCTCAGATACGTCAAGAAGGGCACAGGGTCAGTGTTGTGATGGGCAAAATAAGAACAGATACCAGGAAATATTTCTTTGCCCAGAGCATAATTAATGACTGGAATCGGTTAGCAGGGAGAGTGGTTGAGGCCAGGACACATAGAAACATATAAGATTCTTATCGGGCTTGATAGAGTAGACTATTTCCCCTGGTAGGAGAATCTAGAACGAGGGTCGCAGTCTTAAGATTAAGGGACAGCCCTTTCGAACAGTGTTGAGGAAATACTTCTTCACTCAGAGGGTAGTGAATTTATGGAATTACCTACCCCAGAAGGCTGTAGCTGCTCAGTCCTTGAACATACTCAAGACTGAGATTGATAGCTTTCTAAAGGATAGAGGGATTAAGGGATATGGGGATAAGGCGGACAGATTGAGTTAGGTTAGAAAATGATCTTATTTAATGGCGGCGCAGGCTCGAGGAGCCGAATGGCCTACTCCTACTCCTAATTCCTATGTTGCTATGATACTGGAGCTCATAACAGAAAGAGCTTGATGCTGTAACATCGACAGTGGGTTGGGGGGGACGGGAAGATTGAGATCAAATGGGCTGAAGCACTTTCTTCACACAAACCTCTCGTGACCTTGTGATTATCAAATACATTCAACACTGATGTTTTACACATTTGAAATGAAATACTTCTTATTAACAAATATCTACAGAAACTCCAGAAAATACAACAACAAAGTACATTTATAGAGCGTCTTTCACATCAGGAGGACGTCGCAAAGCGCTGGGTCCCGAATAGACCCAAATATTAAAAACGAATTGTGAAACGTGTTTGGAGTGGAACTGGAGAGCACCAGTGGGGGAGTGAGCCCCAGCACAGACACGATGGGGAGAGAGAGCAGGGAATGGGGTTAGAGTAGAGAGCTCCAGTGGGGGAGCGAGCACCAGCACAGACACGATGAGGAGAGAGAGCAGGGAATGGGGTTAGAGTAGAGAGCTCCAGTGGGGAGCGAGCGCCAGCACAGACACGATGGGGAGAGAGCAGGGAATGGGGTTAGAGTAGAGAGCTCCAGTGGGGAGCGAGCACCAGCACAGACACGATGAGGAGAGAGAGCAGGGAATGGGGTTAGAGAAGAGAGCTCCAGTGGGGGAGAGAGCACCAGCACAGACACGATGGGGAGAGAGAGCAGGGAATGGGGTTAGAGTAGAGAGCTCCAGTGGGGGAGAGAGCACCAGCACAGACACGATGGGGAGAGAGAGCAGGGAATGGGGTTAGAGTAGAGAACTCCAGTGGGGGAGAGAGCACCAGCACAGACACCATGGGGAGAAAGAGCAGGGAATGGGATTAGAGTAGAGAGCTCCAGTGGGGGAGTGAGCACCAGCACAGACACCATGGGGAGAGAGAGCAGGGAATGGGGTTAGAGTAGAGAGCTCCAGTGGGGGAGAGAGCACCAGCACAGACACCATGGGGAGAGAGAGCAGGGAATGGGGTTAGAGTAGAGAGCTCCAGTGGGGGAGTGAGCACCAGCACAGACACCATAGGGACAGTTGTTTGGTTAGAATAACTCTGTGTTTCTTTATAGCTGAAGCTCCGGCCGTCATCCTGAGTCTGTCCCTCGTGGCCGGAGGTGACATTGTGTGCTCGGCTGAGGGGGAACCACTGGCTAACATCACATGGATTGACCCTGATAATAACACGCTGCCCATTAACACCAGCCACACGCCAGTCACACATGTACCGGACAAGCATCTAACCGTGGGGGAGATCCGGGGCCCGAGGCTGAGGGGAACTTACCGCTGTGTAGCTGAGAACACACAGGGCAGAGACGCCCGAGACATCCTCGCACCTGGACCACAGAGTGATGGCAGCTTCATCACTGCGATGCTGTGGCTGATGCCAGCAGCTAAATGTCTCTTTCTGTTGGTGATCGGGATCGTTCTCCTCTGTAAAACACAAGGTTTGTTCTTGTCTGTAAAACACAATTCCAGACGGTCAGACCGTTCAGTCTTTAACTTTTTCACAAGTCTTAAAAAGTTCCCAGTTACTCTCCATCACCTTATAATAATAATAATAATAATCCTTGCATTTGATATAGCGCTTTTCACGTCGGGAGGACGTCCCAAAGCGCTTCACAGAATACACTGTAAAGTGAATTGACTGCATATATGTGGGCGAACGCGGCAGCCAATTGCGCACAGCAATGTCCCACAAACAGTCGTAGATTGAAAATGACCAATTTATTATTGTTTTTTGGTTTTTGGAGGGATTATTATTAGGCTCTGTGTGGAGTAAGGAAACTTGCCCAAGGTTTCGCCCTCTGCCTGGAATTGAACTCAGGTCTCTCACTTGCAAAGCGAGTGCTCTAACCACTGAGCCACAGGACTCCACACCTTGTACCCCACTGCTCTGCCCACCCTCTTTGCACAGGCCTGCTGCACGTCCCCTGACCCCTCAACACCAGCATCAGTGGCTGCGCTTCCTGTCACTATGACCCTAATCTCTGGAACTCCCTGCCTCAGTCCCTGTTTGTTCCTCTCAAGTTGTTGTTGGATTTACCCCATTTCTGTACCACCCTGGGTTTATGGGCAAAACATCTCAAGGGCTGAGACGAGGTGTAATTTTGCGATTCTGTTGAGCCTTTGAGAACATGGGAACCCGTGACTCCCAATAACAGTGTTTGTTTGGCTGAAACATGATCTCATTCTTTTTCTTCACTCATAGATTCAAGGCGTCTCCATCCTGAGGCCAAGAAAAGAAGGAGCTCTGTATAGTTCCCGCTCTCTCACCTGTGCCTGTCTCCAGTGGCCATGAAAGTGTTTCGTACAAGATCACAAGAGCTTCAGGTGAGGCAGAGCTTCTAATGATCGAGACCTTTTGGCCTATAAGATCTCATCCTTGCAGTAAACGCCAGCCTGCAGTCCTCCCATTATAGCATTGAGCTGCTTCGACGACGTTCACAGTCACCTCCTCTGTCCCCCCGGCTTGGCATCAGGCTACGCCACTGTGAAGCATTCCGAGATGCTGCCCCATGTGAAGGGCGCTGTATAAATGCACGTTGTTGCTGTTAGGTTGAAGGTTATGACCTCCAGCAGCCACTCATGTCAAAGCCTTCCATGTTCTAAATAGCTGTGTTTGAAAAGATGACTTCTTACCTCTGTTCCAATCGCTGCAGTGAGAATCCTGATCTCACCGTTCTTCTCACCCACTGTGAAACGGTCAGTGTATTCAGGGGTTGTGCTCATCCCGTGCCTTCAACTTCACACATCTCATCAACTCCTCGCGGCTTCCTGGAATCTCATCCTTTCCAATGGGTTGTTGGAACCTCCAACCTCCAACCTTGAAGAACATCGTTGATTCCAAGACATTGAATGGGACTCTCTCATGAACTCCTTTTGCTACTAAACCTGTGCTCCTTAGTAAATGTTCTGTTTTCCAAATGACTGAATAAAATACTTGTGAAGGTATCACTCAGTCGTGTGGGTTAGTGTGTCTGCAGGCGGGTGAATCTGTGAGACAATAATCGAGTCCTGTAGCTTAGTGGTCCTGTAGCTTTGAGCTCTGGCCTCGCAAGTGAGAGGATCTGGGTTCAATTCCCGGACAGGGTGAAAAGATCGGTAAGTTTCCTTACTTCACACACCTCTGTTTAAGTCGATCGCTTTTCCGGAAGGTAATAATCCCTTAAAAAAAAGTTGTTCACTCAATCCACGACTGGCACTGATGTGTTTAATTCGCTGCCGCATTTTGCCGACAACATATAGAGGCAATGCACCTGACAGTATATTCTGTGAAGCGATTTCAGACGTCTCAAAGACGTGATAATGCGCTATATCCAGGGAAGGATTATTACAATACAAAATGACAATACAACATTAGATTGTATAGCGCTGTACGTTTCCTCCACGTGCCTTTGTTTACCTATCAGACAGTGGGAACTAAACAGGTCAGTCGATCGCTTTTAGTGTAATACTCCCTTCAAAAAAATTGTTTTTAAAGTAATTTGGTCACTTTGTTTGTGGGACACTGCTGTATGCAATTAGCAGCTGCATTTCTCCTTAAAAATACCCAGTCAATGCATTTTACAGTATACTCTGTGAAGCTCTATGAGACGTCTCAAAGATGTGACAACGCATTGTATCAATTGCAAGATTTATTACAAAGAAAATGACAATACAACTTTAGATTTGTATAGCGCCGTTCACATTGGGAGGATATCCCAAGAGGTTGGACAGTCAGGCATTTAGATCCGTGCAGGAGAGTTGTTGGGATCAGGGATGGCGGAGGGCAAGGAGGGTCGGAGTGACAAACTGACAAATGACGCTCTGTCTATCTGGGACCAGGGCTCCCTCTGTCTACTCGTCCTCCTTGACCTCTCTGCTGCCTTCGACACCGTCGACCATTCTATCCTCATCCACTGCCTCTCCTCTCACCTCAACGTTCATGGCTCTGTCCTTGACTGGTTCAGATCGTACCTCTCACACCGCCTCCACTTCATCTCCACAAACGGCTTCTCCTCTGGGATCCCCACCGTCTCGTGCAGTGTTTCTCAGGGCTCTGTCCTTGTTTCCCTCCTCTTCAATATCTATATGCCCCCTCTCGGTGACATCATCCGCAGACATGGGGTCAACTTCCACACGTATGCAGATGACACCCAACTGAACCTCTCTGCCTCCACCCTGAACTCCAGGACCACTGCTGTCCTGACAGAATGTCTGTCAGACATCAAGTCCTGGATGAGAGCGAACTTCCTTCAGTTGAACGTCAACAAGACCGAGGCTCTCCCGATTGGCTCCCGTCAGCACCTCCTCACCTCAGGCGCTGACAGCACCACCATCCATGGTTGCACACTCCACCTCACTGAGCAGCACGGAACCTCGGGGTCTTGTTTGAGCCAAACTTTCCTTTCTACCCCACATATGCATCACGACCCGCTCTGGCTTCCCACCTCTGCAACATCGCCCGGCTCCGCCACTGTCTCACCCCGCAGGCCGCTTTCATTACATCGTGGCTTGGCTTTGCAAACCCATTGCTTCTCGGCCTCCCCAACTCCTCCCTCCATAAGCCGCAGATCATCCAGAACTCTGCAGCCTGTATCCTCTCCCGCACTAATCTCCATGATCTTATCCTCGCCTAACACCACTGGCTTCCCATCACCCAGAGGATACAGTTCAAGACCCCGGTCCTCACATTTAAAACCCTCCATGGTCTTGCTCCCCCCCACCTCTGTGACTTTCTAACCACCTACCATCCTGCTCACTCCCTCTGTTCAGTGGGCTCTGCCCTGCATCATGTTCCCCGCCTCACTTGCGCTACTATTGGCAGGCGGGACATCTTCCACTCTGACCCCATCCACTGGAACTCCATCCCGCAGTCCCTCCGCATCGCCCCCTCCCTTGCCAACTTCAAGACCCAACTCAAGACCCTCCCCTTCGACATTTCTTTTGATCTCCCTGCTTCCCCCACTGCCCTCCACACTCCCCGACCCCAACCCCCAGTTCGGGTCCGTAACTCTGTCTGTCCAGCAATTTGGGACGTCCTCACGACGTGAAAGGTGCTTACAAATGTAATTTTGTTGTTGTGCTGTTGCTGTAGGAGAGTTCCCGAAGGCAATGTCGAAGCAGCGGATCTTGAGACGTACCTGGAAAGAGGCGAGGGTGGGAGCGCAGTGGAGGGACTGTTGGGTAGAGTTCCAAAGGGTGGGGACGGAGAGGCTGAATGCCCACTCCTGATGGTGGGCAGGAGGGCAGACCTGGTGTGGGCCGAAGCCTGCTGTGTGGAGGGAGTGCGCAAATTGATATGGGGTTAGCAGGTCACAGAGGTAGGAAAGAGCGAGGCCGTGGGGGCCCTGAAGGCAAAGATGAGGATTTTGAACTCTATCCTCTGCGGGAAGTGGAGCCAGTGACGCCGGGCGAGGGTGGGGGTGACAGGGTCACAGCGCCAGGTGCAGGAGAGGACATGAGCTGCAGAGCTCTCAAGGCCTCCACCATGTACAGACATACAGAGAGACACTCACACACACACAGTGAGAGACCAACACAGAGAGAGACTAACATACACTCACGTCATAGCGAGAGACATATTCACTCACAGACACAAAGAGAGCGAAAGACACACACAGTCACTCACACAGAGAGTGACGCAAACACAGACACAGAGAGAGACACACACACAGACACATAGAGAAAGATGAACACATTCATTCACACACACAGAGACACAATCATAGACACACAGAGAGCTGCCGTATAGAGCCCCAGTAAAGAGCGATCACCAGCACAGACAGCAGAGGGGGGGAAGGCTTCTGTGCTGTAAACCAACAAATCACATGGACAGCGGCTCCACTTCTCTGACCTTAACATAACGCAGGAAGTCAGTTTGGCTCAGTCAGTCACACTCTCACCTCTGGGTCTAAAGCCTGGGTTCGTGCCCATGTCGGGATTGTGCTCAGAGTCCAGGCTGATGCTCCAGCCCAGGGGGAGCTGTACATCCTCAGAGTTGCCGTCCTTCAGACGAGACGTTAAACCAAGAACCTGTTTAACTGACATTAAAGATCCTTCGACACTGATGGAAAAGAGAAGCGAGTTCCTCCCGGCTTCCTGCGCGACGATCAACCAGATTAATGGTTCACAA